GGTACTGGGTAGACTCTGGTTAAAAAAAAAAACAACAACAAAACTTTTTTTTAAAAGATCTTATTTATTTGAGAGTGAGATAGAGTGCAGGGGCACATGAGTGGGGGAAGGGACAGAGGGGGAGGGAGAGGGAGAGAGAGGATTCCAAGCAGACACCTGATGCGGGGCTTGACCCCACAACCCTGACATTATGACCTGGGCCAAAATCAAGAGTCTGACGCTTAACTGACTGAGCCACACAAGTGCCCCAACCCTGGTAAATTAATCAATGAGGTTTTGTGGTCCTAGATATAACAGAAGGAGTAAACAGTAGAAGGGGTATGGGTAGTCTTGTGACAGCAAGAAAAATGAATGCTAATGGCTTAATATTGCAGGGGGACTGAAAAAACGTGATCCAAATTGCATTACAACAATGTATGCTCATGAAAATGTCCACATCTCATCAAGAGGGACTTAAATTATGCTATGGCTTTTTAATAAGAAAGGATTTCTATCCTAACGATATTGAATGAAAAAAATAGTGGGGAGGAGTAGGTTCTCAAAGGCATCATCCCCATTAATGAGATATTTTGCTTATGTAAATTAATTCATTCTTAAAAAATGCTAAATACAAGAGATTATCAAATTCTGTCTGCAAAGCAGCATTAAAAGATTTAAAAATCATCCATAAACAATGTCTACCTTATAAGACTGCCCTATAGATAAATTTATATAAAGTATAAAGTGAGACTTGAAGGTATGACATGTTAGATAAAGATGAAGGGATGTTTTCTTATCAATCAAGGCGAGTCTAAAGCAGAGGCGAGCAAAGGTGCACTGAACTAGGAGCAGAGGTTGGTTTTCCTTGGCTGTCACTTATTCACTGTGTAAATAACCATGAGTAATTCACTTACTCTAATTTTAATTTTCATTTTTAAAATGATACAGGCCAGGAATCTTTTAAGGTCTGTTTCAGCCATAAAATCATATGATTAAAAATGAAGAAGTATTTTCACTTGCATATTATGGTGCAGTAAGTATGGTCAAAAGACAACATTTTTTCCCCTCACTGATTATGAAAATGTTTGGGGTGAAAGCAATTAGTCAGTAACATTCAGGAGATGACACTGTCATTGTTGACTTATATCACTGAAGAAAAGTATTTTATTCTAAACAATTAAAATTGGTTTTTGAATAAAGGCAACATCTTTTTAAAAAATTTATTTAGGGCACCTGAGTGGCTCAGTCATTAAGCGTCTGCCTTTGGCTCAGGTCATGATCCCAGGGTCCTGGGATCGAGCCCCACATCGGGCTCCCTGCTCAGCGGGAAGCCTGCTTCTCCTTCTCCCACTTCCCCTGCTTGTGTTCCCTCTCTCACTGTCTCTCTCTCTGTCAAATAAATAAATAAAATCTTAAAAAAATTTTATTTAAAAAGGATAGGAAAAAAAGTCTAGAAACTGCAGAGTGAAGACCGACAGGCTGGATTCTAGAAAATGACTAGAATATAAAGGTATGGGTTTATAAAAATACATCATTCCCAAAATAATTTTATTTCACTAAAGATGAAATGAATTAAAGAATTCATTTATTCATACATATAAAGTGTTCTAGACTTTGCAGATATAAGGATGGACAAAATAATCTCAGTTCTCTTAGAACTTAGATTCTATCATAGCGATTAAATAATGAGAGAAAATAAATATATAAAATCATGCTAGGTTGTATTAAGTCCTAATGAATGAAAGAGAGGATGCTGTTATATACAAGTAGAGGGCTGGAAGAAGGTAAGCAGAAAAGAACAGAAATGATAGGAATTACTTCTTAGGTTAGACGGGGTGAAGTGAAAACCTTCTCTTAGGAGCTCATACCTAAATTGAGAAGGAAGGATCATGAAAAGTGAGTATGTAAAGGATCATGAGAAAAGCATGTAAAGCAGAGGGAATTAAAGTATCAAGGCTCTAGTGCAAAAGATAGATTCTCATTTTCAAGAAATTAAAATGAGACCATGGTAATGAATTTGAGATTTATTCTAAGTGCAGTAGAATGCATAAAACAGAAAGTGGAATGATCTCATTTACATGTTTAAAAGATTAATCTGCCTGCTTTATGATAAATGGTTAAAGAAGATGTAGAGAAGATGCATAGAAACCAGGTAGGAGGGGTGCTGAAGAAAAAATACATCTTGATTTTACCAAGGCATTTGACAAAGATATTCACTACTTTAAGAGTACATAGGAGAAACTGGGGTTCAATTACAGTATATTTGGGAAAATTTGTAGCTAACTGAACAAGAATATGCAAAGAATATCGATTTAAAAGTTCAATCTCATCTTGTTTCAGTGGAAGTTCTGACTGGCATGCTGCCCTGTCCTGGTCAACCTGTTGTATCAATTATTTGAATGTACACATGCTTATCAAATTTTCTGCTGACATTAAAGAAGGAGGACAATCAATATGTCAGATTAAAAAAAAGATTTAAAACAAGTTCAACTGTGAGGGAACAAAGGGCCATCAGTCAGAAGGTGAATTTAATAGGGGTAAATATGATATTCTCAATTTAGGTTAACAAGATAACATGGTTGGGTAGCTTGGGATTAATAGACATCCATAAAAATCAATCCTCAGATTTTACAGGACCGTATGTTCAAAATAAGGTTATGATGTGAGACTGGGGCTTTAAAAAAAGATGAATATCAATGTCAGCTGCATTCACTGAAAAATAAGTTCACATTGTAAGCTACTACTGTTCCCACTGTCCTCTGCAAAGGTCAAGGCACATGCATAGAATTGGGTACATTTCGATAAGGTCACAATTTAATAGATAAATTTACATAAATGGTGTGTCATGAAGAAGATAGTTGTAGATTAAATACTTGGAAAAGATGACAATTATAAATCAAGGGACATGATCATGTTTTCACATATTTGAAGCCTAACCAGAATCGTACAGTTAGAATGATGGAAATTTAGATATTTAGCCCAATTTTAAGAAAGAGATACTGGGTCTGTTTTTGTACTTTTGAAAAACTAGAGCAGTCTACCATGGGTCAGGATGCTTTGTGATGAATAGGTGAGATCTCTGTTTTTAGAACTTCTTGAACAACTATCAGCCATGGATTCTTGAAGTGGCAGGATGCCTACATTACCCATTAAATGGGATAAGCAAAGTGAACTCCAAACATTGGTCCTCAGGCCAGCTCAGCCACAAAATGAACGACAGAGCTTTTCCGTAGGCTAAAATAATGTAATTAAATGACCACCCTCAAATATGATATTCTGTCTTTTGGATAGTTTTGGTAGTAGAAATGCCTGGACTCTTACAAAAGGATAGTCTTAAGAGTTGGTAATTTGTTTGTTTTTTTTTTCAATGTAATAAATTAGAAAGATAGGGTTAGTAATGCTATATCAACCTTTATTTTTTGTTGTTACTATTGCTATCTTAAAAATTTTCTTATACTATGAAATCCAAAAATCAAAGAAGTAATCTCACTGAGTGCAGAGATCTCCCTACTCTGAGAATCAAAGATTCCATGATTATTTTTCAAAATGAATCCAACAAAATTCACTTGTCATTCCTAAAAAATAAGTATAGGTATTAGACTTGCATTAAACCAAGAGAAATAGTTCGGTTCTATAGCACTCAATTGGACATATTATCCTTCTATTATTCTGCACATCTAAGAATATTTGGCAGATTCTATCAGGAAATATCCACAAACAAAATAATCTTGGAATCCTATATATGCCTAATACTCAGAAACTTCATTTCTCAACTAGTAAAAATGCCACCTGATGGCAATAATAGATTAAGCACTGGATATTAGATATATTTGATGTTGAGTTCCCAGAGAGGATTTTGTTAATGAGAATATTCTACAGTGTTACTGCCAACAGACTTTGTAATTATGAAACCTTTGACATTAATGCACTGCTGTATGAGTTGGGATTTTACACAAGGAAATATATAATCATATGCAAATACATAAACCCTTAAAAATGTAGCTGAACATCAGTTCTCAAAGGCATCTATACTCAAATGTGTACTCACTGCTCTTGCCTGTGGATTTTATTTTCAACTTGCTATTTCTAAATTCCACTTTCTTTGATTGCTCATGAACTTTTATTAGATGATGGTCTTAAGAGATGGCAATTTATTTTTTAAATGTTCTAAACTGGAAATATAAAAGATATGTTGTAGAAGTTAACACTTTGTCTCTACTTTTTGTTGTTATTATAGTGGTTTTAAAAATTTTCCTAATCTATAAAATAAGAAAAAAACCGGAGAATTATAGGATTAATAGACTACCAACCTTCTTTGCAACTCTGAGCTTTATGGTTAAATACTTCTCAAATTGACTATTACAGGCAGTTCAATTGCTTGCTTATACACACTCTATAATGTGTGTATGTCTATGTGTATAATTTCTTGGTATGTAAATTTGTTTGTGTATAAATTTGAGTGTGTGTGAATTTATATATGTATAGAGAGTCCCATAACAGACTATCATATAATCAAACTGTCTTCAACTTTATAAAAGCAGAATACATCTTTCCACTTAGATTTACAATTTATCCTGTAAGCAAGATATTACCCAAATATGAAAAAAAAAGGTAAAGATCATATAACAAATTAAAATCTATTTAGTTTTTAAAAGTAAACTGTTTGCAGGAGGAGAAGAATGAAGGGGGAAGTCAGAGGGGGAGACGAACCATGAGAGACTATGGACTCTGAGAAACAAACTGAGGGTTCTAGAGGGGAAGGGGGTGGGGGGATGGGTTAGCCTGGTGATGGGTATTAAAGAGGGCACGTACTGCATGGAGCACTGGGTGTTATACACAAACAATGAATCATGGAACACTACATCAAAAACTAATGATGTAATGTATGGTGATTAACATAACATAATAATTTAAAAAATAAATAAATAAATATGCAAAAAAAAAAAAAAGAAACTGTTTTAAAGGCTTAATGGCACAAAAACTCGAAGTAACATTTGCAGCATGATGTAATTGCTACTTACAGGCAAACTGAAGCTTTGCTTCTCTGCTAACAATTGTTCCAAATGAGTTTGTTGCTATGCACTGGTACGTTCCAGCATCTTGGGTTTTATTGGGGTTATTGATCAACAAGCTGCCTTCAACAACACGGTAGCGGAAATCCACACCAATGTCAACATCTGTTCCATTTAATTTCCACCTATAGTATAGAAATGCCAGTAGATAAAGCCTTGTAATATTAATCAATATTTCTGAATCATCTAAATTATATAAAAACTATAAATAGCAGGAAGTACCATCTGTGACTTTTTTAACCGTGGCAAAAAAAAAAAAAAGAAGAAATGCTCTACCCAGCAATGGTGACAACTTAAGTGCTATGGAAAGAGCATGTCTTTTACAGTAAACAATGATATTAAAATTTTAACACCTCCTTTTCTGGTTAATCTGATACTACACAAGCTTCACTTTTTTTTTTTTTTTAATCCCCATAGCATCTTGTACAACTTTCTTCAAAGAGGGCTCCTCAGCAAAAGTCCTTTTTCTAGTTTGAAGCTAATCTTTTTTTTTTCCCCTCCTAGTTTATAGTTATTCTTTAAATGGGTCTATACAGATGACAGAATACACCACTTTCAGGTAGATTGCTGAGTATTTGATGGAATTGCAGCAGAGTTGCTTTGATTTGGTCCTTAGTATGACTGAAATGGCTGACTGCAAAGCAGAGGAACTCTATTGATCTAAAGCTGTCTTAGGGACCAAACTAGTCTTAACCATGGATCACTTTGAAGATCTTAGCCAATGGCACTGAAACATCAATCAACCATCCAGTAAACTGCAGATCAGGCCAAGGTAACAGAGGCAAAGAGTTTTGTTGTTCTGTTTGTTTACTTGAATCATCTATTGTATCTGACTCTAGTGTTTGGCCCTATAAATAAATTTTACTGGGACTCACACATTTAAACAGTAAAGCTTTACTAACAAGATCTACTTCTTTTTCTTTTTTCTTTTTTTTTCTCTTTTTTTTGCAGTCAATAACATTCCAAAAAGAGCTTATTTTAACCAAATTGTCTTCCTTTGAATACTTAGGAACTTTTGAGCTAATACAATTCAATGGCTATGTGTCTTATTTTTTTCTCCCCTTCCCTCCCGAATTCTACACAAATATCATAGTTGAAACTTCTGAAATATCAACAGTCTCACAGTAGCATTCATCACATTGGGAGACCAAAAAATAAGGAAACACTGAAGCACAAAGGAAATTGATAAGAAACAATAACAGGACTGAGAATGAGAGACTTTCATTTTTATCTCCTTCAATCAGTAAAAAACAAAAGCCATTTAAAATGTATTTGTGTACATACACGCGCATTGTGCATCCTCTCATAAATTCTGGAGTACTACGGCTGTAATGTACAGTGTAAAAGGATTTAAATGAAAAAATGCAATACAGTTTGTTTCAAGATTTTGGATATTTGGTATCCACAAAAGCAGAAGTTTAAGGATGATCCTTTTCTGTCAAGATCTCTCTCACACTTCAAGGTCAATTTTAAGTCATACTTCTTCCAATGAAGTATTTTTCAATATTCCTAGTCAAAAAAAAATTTTTTTTAAAGATTTTATTTATTTATTTGACACAGAGAGACACAGCGAGAGAGGGAACACAAGCAGGGGGAGTGGGAGAGGGAGAAGCAGGTTTCCTGCTGAGCAGGGAGCCCAATGCGGGGCTTGATCGCAGGACCCTGGGATCATGACCTGAGCCAAAGGCAGATGCTTAATGACTGAGCCACCCAGGCACCCCATTCCTAGTCAAAATTAATCGAAGTTTTCCACAGACTCCTATAGGATTCTCTCTGCTCTATTATGTAGGAATTGTGCCTTCACTGTAGATAATTTGCCTAGATCACTTTTGTATTGTCCCTACAGCAGTCTAGACCTTGACACTTTCTTGAGCTCAATAAATGCCTGTGGAACCTGACTAAATATTCTACTTCTCTGCTGTATAGTTTAGCTTTGAGCATAAACAGTTTATGAAGCATTCTAGCCCACTACAGCATGGTGGTGTATGTTTGTTCACATCTATGTCTTTGAAATGCAAAAATGTAGAGACATGAGGGGCAGGAAAGGTAGGTCAAAATCACAAAATGGGACATAGCTCTTTATGTGTTCGTTTATAAGAAGATGGGTATTAGAAACGGACATTGTTTTTAAGCTTGACAGTAATTCTGTGTTCTGACACAGACATGAAAGTAATAAGTAATAAAAGGAGAAAGCCAGGTTCTTTTTTAGCAGGTCTATATGAACATGAATCTCTAGAAATGACTGCCTGCCCTGGACATTTTTTTTTTTTTTTTTGAGTGAGCTGATCACGTCTTGGCTTTAACTCTCACTTCAAATGATAGTGGAGCAATTTAATATGACAAATCTAAGAACTCAAAGAGGAAATTGCAATATAATGTGAGCTGCAAGCAGAATGTGGAATTTAGAAATGGACCATGTGAGCCTTTTTAGAAAAGTGGTTGTGGGGATAATGAGAACACCTCTGTAGGTTTGTCTGCACTAGTCATCTCAACTAAATGCTCTGCAGAAAGTCCTTTAATCTATTTTATTGCCTGCTTTTACATACAAATAGCAAAGGAAAAGGGATTTTTTAGAAAATAAAGTGCTTGCTGTGAAATGCAGTTGAGACTAGATTACAAAGCACTATACCCAGTTTTATTGCAATGCAGTCAGTGTTCATTCCCACTGAATGTGGATTGCACTGAATTCCTTATCCTATCCCATACTGGAACACTCTTGAAAAATCACAGTTTATTTTCAATGTTTGAATCATCTTTTAACTACTGGTAATAGAGACAATGCCCATGTGGAGCAAAGAGAGATTTTCCCTGGGGTCAGGACAAATTAGTTAGTCTCATAAACTGATTTCTGAATCACTTGGGGAACCATAACTCAACTCTTTCCAGAGAGTCAGGTTGTGCCCAACTAAATACTGACACTATGAAGTTCTGGGAGGTACAATTTTCCAGACTTTGCTGGGAAGCTATCTATAGAATTTGTTGTAATAAACCCCTCTTTCTTTGTTCACAGTCTCAACTTTGGAATGGAAGAATGGGCAAGACCTTTGTGACTTGGAATTTGTTGTTTATAAACTAAGTTGAACACAAACCTCACAGCAAAAGTACTCCAGCCAAGCACTTGAACGTCCATTCTGTCTGGAAAGGGAAGCTGAGTGCAATAAGTAATGTCACAAGTCTTTAAGAAACTCTAATACAAGGAAAGTTGGCAAAAGTCAACACTTTTTAAATTTTTCTGGGTCTAGGTCAATCCTTTCAAAGTTGAGGGGCAGGAAACAATGAAAAGAGAAGGCTCAGTTGAAGGAATAAACACAAAGAAGAGAGGTCAGTTGTGGTGTTTGAGGAAAAACCTAATGCTGAAAATCCCCATGGAGAGTTCACCTTGAATTTCTCCTACTTGTTTGTCCTCCTCAAAGTCAGCCTGAGCACTGAAAAAGTGTAGCCAGACAGATGTTTGAAAATACCTATCCCTCCATTCTATCCCTTACTCTTTCCTTCAACAAGAGGGAGTTTTTAGCTCCTAGGTAGCAACTGGCTATTATGTTATAGAGAAACTGCCAAAGGTATAAAGGAAAACACAGTACCCTGCAACCAACTGCTGGTGCATTTGATTAAAAGTTTTCTTCTCAGCTTTTCCAGGCAATCTTTAAAAACATAATAGGTTTCTGTTCCACTGCTTATTTTAAATAACAAAGCAGGCCCCTGTATCTTGAAACACAATGTTATAAAAGCAATGTTAATTAAAGGTCACAGTTTCGGGGGGGGGCGGGGGAGGGGCGGGGAAAACGAAGCAGCAACTTGCCAAATTCTGCCGCAGAATTTGTTTTCATTTATGGCTAACATCTGAACTTACACTTGGCTCTGTACTAAAAAATAGGCCCATTTAACTCATCATTTATGTATGTAGGAACCTTTGCCTCTTGTATTTATCTTTTACTATATAACACATCTTAAAATATCTGATTTAACCTTGAATTCAACATATTCTAGGGAGAATAAGTGCACATTCTGGTTTGTCCAGGACAGTGGTAGTTTTACACCTGCTCTCCTAGAATAATTATTAACAGTGGCCTTTTACTCTCAGAACTGTCCTGGTTTGAATGATAAATTATATATCCATTAGAGAGGGTTTTCCTTTCTTTCCTTTCCTTCCTTTCTTTCTTTTTCTTCCTTCCTTCCCTCCTTTTTCTTTCTTTCTTTCTTTCTTTCTTTCTTTCTTTCTTTCTTTCTTTCTTTCTTTCTTTCTTTCTCTTTTTCTTCCTTCCTTTCTTCCTTTCTTTCTTTCTTTTTCTTTTTCTTTCTTTCTCTTTCTTTCTTTCTTTCTTTTTCTTCCTTTCCTCCTCCCTTTCCTTTCTTTTTCTTTCTTTCTTTCTCTTTCTTTCTTTCTTTCTTTCTTTCTTTCTTTCTTTCTTTCTTTCTTTCTTTCTTTCTTTCTTTTCTTTCTTTCTTTCTTTCCCTTCCTTCCTTCCTTCCTTCCTTCCTTCCTTCCTTCCTTCCTTCCTTCCTTCCTTCCTTCCTCTCTCTCTCTCTCTCTTTCTTTCTTTTCAGTAATGCACTTCCTTTGGAAAATATCCATATAGCAAAACGTCATTTGCCCTCCAGATTCAGTTAAGTATCTCCTTTTCTGTGAAACTTTCCCTGTTATTGTCCCCTTGCATCCTGAAGTAGACTTTCCTCCAGGATGCCCTAGGACTTGGACATCCTTTCCAGCACTGATAGCACAATTCTTACAGAAGAGTACTGCAGCTACCGTCACCACTTCTCAGCAGTGCTCCCAAGCACACTACTTGAACATGCAGTTTATTAATCTTTGAGTACCTAAAACCTAGGGTGGTGTCCGGTAATAGAGTGATTTAATACAGTGGCTTAATATAGTGCTTCGAATACCTTTCGTGGACCACATGTTTTTCAGAATCCTAATCCATACCCCAATTCAAAGGAGAGCTGCTATGGTGGACTCTTGGGTAGAAACTCTACAATTACTCACTGTGGGTAATTGCTGAGCCAGTTCCATGCACCTAGAATTCATAGTTTGAAAAACACTGGGTGGTGTAATGAATGACGATATAGTGGTGAATGAATGAATGGGCACAAAAGTTAAATTCTAAAATAATTTCTACTACACTAATACTACCATCCTTTAACTTGTATCAGATGTCCTTTGCCTTCTGCCAATTTACAAACTAAATATCTCAGGTCATATTCCACTTCTGTGGATCCTTAATGATCCAATCTCTTCCTCCCCTAAGCTATGACATATGTTATCTATTATTTTGGTTTTTACACCCTATTATATATTATTAGCTTAAAGTCTTATCATTAAATGTGAATAGAGGCAAAATCATATTTATAAGATACATGGAGTCACTTCTCTGTGTGGCCCAACAAAACATTCACCATTTACTTTTTTATCTTTCTGTGAATTTCACACTTTCCCTTTGAAGTCCCAAGACCCCTACCCCGCCCTTCTCCTTAGTTCAGAATGACATATATACCATATTTTTGCCTGTCTTTGGAATTTCATGTCTGTGTAGATTCCTCATACATATCAATTTAAATTTGATTTTCTTTTGTTACTCTGCCTCGTGTAAATTTAATTCTTAGTCCAGCTAGAAGGATCTTAGACAGAAGAAAATTTCATCCTCCCTAACGTTATAAAGAATCACAAGACAATAAAGATCTGTGTCTAAGAAAAGTAATGTTACTTTTAAAGTCTCCATTTCTGCTTTGATTCTAGTGACTCCCTTCTCAATGGTTAATTATAATCTCTAACTTTGCTTTTTTCTTTCCCTTGATTTTATGATTTTATCAAGTATGTTGGTATCCTTAAACAACTGTTCCATCTTACCTGCTCTTGAACTTTATAAATAGGGAATTATACTAGTCTTTTGTGACTTGCTTTGTTTGCTGAAAATTATGTTCCTGTGATCCATCATGTTGCAGCTGTAATTCATCATTTTCACTACTGCATGGGGTTACCTTGTATGAACATACCAGGTTATATTTATTTATATTATATTGAATTTAGTTTTCTAAATTTCTGCTAATCTGCTAGGTTTGCAAGAATGTGCCATTTTAGTTTTAATTTGCATATTTCTGCTCACTAATGGCACTGACAATCTTTCTACCTATTAAATGGATATGTGATATTCCTTTTCTTAGAAGTACCTAATCAAGTCTTTTGGTAATGTTTCTACTAGGATACTAAAAGAAAGTTTTTTACTTTTTGATTTGTGAGGATTTAAAAAATATTTTTGGATATTATTTCTTTGCCAATGACATGTATTAAAAATATCTTCTCCCAGTTGGAAGCTTGAAATTTTACTCATCTCAGTATTTCTGTTGAACAGAAGTTCTTAACGTTAATGAAGTTAAATATTTTCTTTTCTGATTTGTGCTTTTTCTGTCATATTTGAGAAATATTTCCTTCTCTCCAAAGTCATAGATATGTATGCCTATCTTCTTTTAAAACTGTGTATGTCCCATGTAGACCTTCTAGTCACCTGAAATTGGTCTTTGTGTATGTGGTCAGGGAGGGGTCAAATTCTATTTCACTTTTTTTAACCACGTGTATGAATCCATTGTGCAGTATATCTTTTTAAAATTTATTTCTATTATTGTCATTACTTCTAATTTTTCTTTATCTCCACAAGACAGTCTATATTGTTATTATTGTTTAGTATAATTGCAATTGATTTTAATGTGGAAATATTAACCTTCACCATTTGCTTTACTATCATTTGTTCTTGTATCTCAGATACTTTACCTGGGATCATTTTTATTTTGTTTCAATTATATCTTTTTAAAATTTTCTTTAGTAAGTGTGTCTGCTGGAGTCAAATTTTATTTTTTTTAAAAAGACTTTATTTATTTGAGAGAGTGAGAGAGAGAGGAGCGGGGGGGCGGGGAGAAGCAGGCTCCCCTCTGAGGAGGGAACCCCACACAGGGCTTGATCTCAGGACCTTGGCAAGGAGCCCGATATGGGACTCCATCCCTGGACCCTGGGATCACAACCAGAGCCAAAGGCAGACGTTAAACCGACTGAGCCACCCAGGCACCCTTGTTCGAGTCAAACCTTAGTTTCTGAATGCCTGAGAACACACTTATTTTGTTCTCCTAAAAAATATTTCTGCTATATTGAAATTTGACAGTTAAATCTCTCTCAGCATATCGAAGATTCTGTCTGCCATCTGATTTTTTGTTACTATTGAGAAGTCAGTTGCTGGCCTGCCATCTATTTGAAGGTTACCTATATTACAAGCTTGACTATTTTTATGATTGTGTCTTCAACTTGGGTGTTCTGCTGTTTCACTATAATAATTCTAGATGAGGCTTTATTTTTATTTGTACTCCTTGAAATTCATTTGGCTACCTAAATATATAGCTTGGAATTTATTTTATTTTTTAACTTTTTTTTTTAAAGATCTTATTTTTAGGTAATCTGTACGTGGACCCAACATGGGGCTGGAACTCACGACCCCGAAATAAAGTGTTGCATGTTCCACTGACTGAGCCCTCCAGGCACTCTTATAGCATGGAATTTTTATTTAGCTTTGGAAAATTCTTAACCTCCTCTTAAAATATTACCTCTGCCTCATTCTCCCTTGCCTTTCCTTATGGAACTTTGATTAAACACATATAAACATTTTCTATTAATCTCTTTTTTTTGGCTTTCTCTTTCTCTCCCTCTCTCTCTCCCTCCTCCTTCTCTCTCACTCTCCCTTTACTTCTCTTTATTTCTGCTGCCTTTGAATGGTTTCTTCAGATATACCTGGCAATTTACTAATTCTTTCAGCTGTGTCTCATCTTCTATTAAAACCACTTAGCACCAAAGTTTGAAATAGGCAAATACTTTTGTTTTACAATTCTTTGGGGAGGCAAGCTTATTTCTTGTTACAGGCACTCTAAGTACATAGCCTTTAGGTCCCAGGTCTATTCTAGGAGGTATTCTCATGTTAGACTCTCCTCTTGGTTGACTCTAGGCTACAAAACCCAAGGCTCTAGTTCACATAGTTCATCAAGGTGAAAACTGCTTTTAGGGGGTCAGTTTTCTTCTCTGGGTTCCCAACCCACTTATTTTTTGACTTCCAAGTACTTCTTACTATGATACCAGTTTGTTGATGCATCTGTTAAAAGTGATTTAAAAATATGTTAAGAAATAGTTAGGCTTTCAGTGAGGGGGTCAAATAGGATATTTAATGCCTAGGACAGCCAGCAACAGAAGTTGGGCACTAAACATTTCATGAACACAATGATCTCTTTAGTGTCTCAGGGTATCCTATGATGCCTGTCTGAAAGATCTTTATGTAATTAGTACTCTGTAAGGACTTGTCAGTTTTAATAACAGAACTTGTATGCACGGAAACATATGATTTAAGTTTTTTTTTATTTATTTATTCATTCGAGATACAGAGATACAGAGAGAGAGAGAGAATATGAGCAGGGGGAGAAGCAGAGGGAAGGGGAGAAGCAGGCCCCCCGCCGAGCAGGGAGCCCGATGTGGGGCTCGATCCCAGGACCCCGGGATCATGACCCGAGCCGAAGGCAGACGCCCAACCATCTGAGCCACCCAGGTGCCCCGAAACATATGATTTAAATTAACGAACCTGATATGCGGTTTTGGATTCCCTTTAACTTCACAGTTGAGCTTCACCTTTTTCTCCTCAGAATTCAAAGGGAACATCACATGACTTGGTTCTTGAATAAAAACAGGGCCATGCAGTGTGTAGTCATCTGAAATGAGGGGAGATAATGCCCAAAAATGAAGAACATCTTCCAAATACGAACAATAACAGGAAACAACTAACAAAATGAAAATAAGAGTGGTAAAATAACAACAACAAAAAAAACAAACAAAAAAATAACAACAGATTTAGTTTCAGCCTTTAGGTGAAATTTCCCACTGAAGACTAATCCTTCATAGATTATAATGAAGTGGAGACACAGACTCTCCTATTTCATATTGACAACTTATTTTTATTAACAATTTCCAGAATGCCTGACATTCCCTTTCCTTTCCTCTTACTTATTGTTCCATCTGCCTTTTGCTCACCCTTTTACTTTGTTTACATTTTGTGCCTTCTACAGCTCTTGTGCTGCTGTCGTCCTGGGAGACCGTCTAATGTCACAAAGTTAAAAATTTCTCTGCTCTGTAATGGGATAATATAATTGGAAACAAGCAATGATGATTTCATAAATACATTAATAATGGGAAACATCTCTGTACTGCTAAAATATGTATAAAAGTTTCTTAAATTGTCTATGTAAGTAAAGAACAACCTAGAGTCATGATTCTCAAATTACCTGGTAAATGACCAGCTTGTTTTTTTTCCCAGCCTATTAGGGATCCATATGAGGGTATGTTCGTGTAAATAGCATACAGCTGGAACCATGTGACTCAGCACACAAATTCAATAACACCCAAACTAGTCTATAGCTAGTTCAATGATACTTGAGTATACAATGATGTATGAGTTTCTAAATGCTTTCTCTCAATTAACAGTGACTAGATGTATGAAACTTACTTTATCACAAAACAGCAATAAAGTTTAAAGACTGGAATAATCCACAAACCAAACTTGAAGTAGGAGTATAGAGTACATGTTTCTAGAGTATACAACATAATAAAGATTAGTCAAAATGCATCTCACCACCTATGCCCATGAAAGTGATTTTCATTCTTCAAAATCCAGTTCAAGTTCTTTTTCTTTTTTTATCTTAGAAAGCTTTTCTCGACCTTTATCTTTGTTGTTTAGCCACATGATTCTTCAATTATATTTCCCTCTAGCCACTTAACTTTTTCTATCAAGTGTATCTGTACCTTGCTTTTTCCTGCTTTGGACAGTAAGCTCCTTGAGAGCATGATGTATCGTACACATTTTGGTATGTTCTGATACCAATACCAAGTACAGCAGCTTATACATAGAAGATCATTATAAGGATTTGTTCTATTTGTGTGTAATTTTTAATGTATTCAATCAGCTGACGTAGGCATTGCCTGATGAATTTCCAGAGAGAAGGGCCAGTGGCTTTGATATAAAATAATACTGAATATCACCCTGGAGCTGACAATCCACTCCCTGCTTAGGTGTGATTATTTTGAAGAGTGTGAAATGCAACTGCTATCCTGGAAAACCTTTATAACCAGCCTTTGTTGATAGGTGGTAAGATGAGAGTAAATTCATGCAGATGTATCAGGACTGAGGAAAAAGAATAAAGCTGGTTTGGGAATCTTGGTGAAGGACAGGAAGTAAGGTAATTTCTTTTGAGGCTTATAACCCAGGCTTAAAAACATCCATATGTTGAGGCTGGGATAGAAGAAAATGTAAGGAGACAAGATGACAAAACAGAATTCTATTTTATTATAGAGGAGTAAGGACAGCCAATGACCTCGTGGTAAGAAAAACAGGATGTGAATTCAGAAAAACCATGAACTGAGATTCAATGCCTTGGGTCAACTACTAAATCCATGACCTAGCTCTCCATCACTTAGTCTCTCTAGCCCTCAATTTTCTCATCTCTAAACTAATAGGATTGGACTAGGTCAGTGGTCCTATACTGGTTAAGAATGGGAAAGAATCCCTGAATATTTGCCCATGAACTTACATGCACATACATGTGAAATTTGCATTCAAAGATGACATGAATTATATTACCAACACCATCCTCTCTCCTTACTCGATGTATAAAATCTCACATTAATGAGACTTAAACAAAGAAAACAGGATCTGCCAAAGAACTCAAAAGCATAGAATGAAAGTACATAAACATCTATTTTTTTTAACACTCATAGTTTAAAGCCAGATACTTTAAAATCCGGATATTTACATTTCAGATTTTCAACAATTATATAGATAGTTTCAAAACAAATTTAAACAGTGGTCAAGGATTAGCTCAATTCAAATGTGAAGAATTATGTGAATTTTTGGCATATCTATTTAAGTAACAAATGTTACTCATCAAGATCACTAACATAGCAGCACACTTGGTGGATTTTTCTCTAAGAGAGAAATATTTCTATTGTTGTCCCAATTCCACAATTATGTGTGTATATATATATATATATAATATCAATCATCTCAATTCATTGGTGTTCCCTGATTTGAATTTCATACAGAAATACACAGTCTATTACTAGTAATTCCAAATAAGAATAAAACATAATAATGATTATCCAGGATGCAGCTGAGAGGCTGTGGATTAACATCTGTACTATTTCTCAATGTATCCATGCCATATTTAAATAACAAAAATGGTATTTTTTTTGTGTATTTTGTAACAAGAATTGATAATAACGATGCTTCGCATTCACTATAAATAACACATTTCATCCAAAGTTTTTATTTTATCTTGGTTAACCAAGCTTGCTGCCTATAAATTAACATTAGCATAAAGGGAATGGTATTTCAGTTTTCATCTAAGGAAATCCACAGCCTTTCAAACATGAGCTGTTTGGTTTCAAAAAGATGGAGGGAGAGATTTTAGAAAGTTTAGCAATGCAGGTGTAGAAAACAGATAACCTAACTTTAAAAACTTTAGCCTAGAGTTACTACACTAACATTTTTGACAAAAAAAAAAAAAGAGTTAAAGGGTTGCTTTGTTTCTCTCAAACCTTGAGGAAGCTGGGTGAAACAGAGTCCTCAGAATGAATTCTTAGATGAAACATGGAGGGAGGCATCAAGTAAGTTTGTTCTATCTTTGTGTAGTTGTGACAAAGTGACTTTCAAGTGTCTTGAAGGCTTGAAGGTACATATAAAACACTTTGCATTTGCCATTTGTAAAGCCTAGAAGATAAAGTTCACCCTTTTCTCTGTCATGGTAACTTGTTCTATGTAATCAGAGTAGCCATGATTTTCAGCCTACAGAAGTAAAGGAGCATCTCAGAAAATGACAAAGGACAAGGTTTTAATAAGCCAGTATGTTTCAAAGTTAGACCGTTGACCACCTGCATTGTAATCATATCATGCAAGGATTGAGCAAGTACAGAGCTTGTTTTTCTAAATCCCAGTCCAGACTGACTGCACCAGAAAAATCCAGGGTCCATGAATTTGTCTTTAACCTAATTGAATCTGGGTGATTCTTTTGCACACTAAAATTTTGAAACTACTAACACAGATCCTTTTGTTCCTAGCTCTCCATTTCCTAAGAGCAGATCATCAACCAACACCGGCTTTAGACACATTCCTAAACTTTCTCTGTTGGGCAAAGTCAAACCAATTTATCTTTGCTTGATAACATTTAGAGAAGGACTTTTTAGCACATGTTTGGACTAACAGCTGAGAGGCAAGCAGATAGGAACAGAAAACGATAAAACTAACTCACACAAAGAAAATGGATGAATTTGGGTGGGAGGATGGGTTAGCCTGGTGATGGGTATTAAAGAGGGCATGTTCTGCATGGAGCATTGGGTGTTACACGCAAATAATGAATCATGGAACACTACATCAAAAACTAATGATGTAATGTTTGGTGATTAACATAATAATAAAAAAAGAAAATGGATTTGTCAAGGTACAGGACTTACGCTGAAACCAAGCCAATATTTCCTTAGAATACTCACAGTTGAATGCCAGCAGCTAAATGTGAGAACCCCCCAAGCGTTCTATGTGACAAAGAAGAGGCACTGATGTGACAGAGCAAAGGCATCCCCAGGGTGACACAATAATCCACTGACCTATAGCGATAACTTACCCTCACTTGATATACATTACATTCTTGTTGTAACCACTACCCTTTGTTTATAAGAAATGAACCTCATTTAAGCGACAGGATGTTCGGATTGATGTTTTAACTTGTGGATTCCCAAAAGGGTGAAAAATCATCCCAATGACTCACTTAGCTTGGAGAAGTTAGGGCAATGGACTCACATTATTATCAGGGATCTCTCAGGGGAGCAGCAAGCAATTATTTTTCATCCTCCTGGAAATTCTTGAAAATCATGGTTAAGAGAAAAAGAGAGGAGCCAGGTTGCCAATAGCCCAGATACAGTCTTTCAAATTCCAGATCATTGATCCTAGCCCCAGCCTAGGGGATTTAGTGCAGAAGCTAATACTGGCACATCATGATTTCCTGGGTTCCCCTCTGCTTGGAAACTATCTGCCAGTTGGTCACTAGCCTACTTCTATAATACTACCTGCATTCCCTCAAGTTCCATATCACAGAAATTCTCATGGACTAGTTTCTGAGTAAACCACATATTTGTAAAAAGAAGAGAGAAAACCTAAACTTAGGAAAGCTCCCTCTCATGTTTCAACAAAGCCTGGGAAACCTTTGGGTTTTCAGAAAAGAGTAGAAATTTCATGACCAGAAATTTATTTAGGTTAACGGTCAGACTACCCTTAAACTTTCTCCCCCTTTGTTCATCAAATACTTAAAGTTATTGGAAAACACTGTTCTTAAATGATTCTCAAACTCCTTTCCCCATTTGATTCTTTTCTTTTTAAAATCTATTTTTGGGGGGAGACGAAAATCAATGTTTGTCAGCCAATTTCTTCTTGCTTTCTCCTGTAAATGTTCCAGAAACAAAATGTAGTGTCAAGGCTACTCTTAAAATGTTTGGAGTACTGAAAGAGATGCATAGAATTGTAGAACTTTAGATTTAAAGAGATTATTTAATCTTGAATGTATTTTCCCAGGTCACAGACTAAAAATGTACTGTATCTGTAATGGAAACAAAAATGACTTTTACCTAAAAATAAAATTACCCTCTAAGAAATACAGTAATAAAACACCTT